CCTGCTCCTCTGATGCTGCTTGGCCTGCTGTGTTCATCCAGCCCTGCACCTTGTTGTCTCGGATTCTCCAGCATCTGCAGTTCCTACTATCTATGATAAATAACCTGTTTGTCTCCCTGAACTCTTGACCAGTTTACTCAGAATCATGTTGAGCATTAAAGATTTTTTTGTACTCGATCTGTGATCTCTGCTGAAATGGTTATCTTGGCTCAGGTAATGGGAAAGGTGCCACAGTTTACATTGAAGCTCCTGCATTACAGCTGTTAAGCAAGGACTAGATTGTACTGGACTGTGATACTTCCTGAAATCAAATTGTTTTCTGATCCCAGTGTTGAGGCTTATAAATGAACATAAACTATTTTGCTTAGCCTCTCAGGAGCAGCCAACACATGTTAATTTGTACCCCAATAATTACTTAATATCTTCAAAAGCAGAGGAGAATTTTAGTTCAAACAACATAAAAGGAAGTAATCTGTTCATAGAATCCCTACAGTGTGGAAGCAGGCCCTTCGGCCCAACAAGTCCACACTGACCCTTGGATCATCCCGCCCTGACCCATCTCCCTATAACCCACACACCCCTGAACATTACGGGCAATTTAGCATGGCCAATCCACCTAGCCTGCACATCTTTGGACTGTGGGAGGAAACCGGAGCACCCGGACAAAACCCACGCAGACAATGTGCAAACTCCGCACAGACGGTCACCCAAGGCTGGAATTGAACTCGGGTCCCTGGCGCTGTGAGGCTGCAGTGCCAACCACTGAACCATCATGCCACCCCGTTCCTTACCAGACAAGTATTGCCTTTGATCCATCTGTCTGTGGATTGGCTAAAATGGTAAGCATGTTGGAGAGTTGGTCGCATCTGTCACAAAATCATCTGCCTGGGAAATTGCCTGAGACAGGATTCAATAAGTAAGCCACTGACAGTCTATTTAATTTGTCCATATGCAAGATGTGCCCTGGAAAGATAAATATTACTGATGACTTAAGAATGAAACTTTAGAGATTTTTTTGTACTTGACTTGGCATGTTAATTTATCCATAAGTAATGGTATCAAATGAAAGCACCCAATTCATCTGCAACTTGAAATGGGGGCAGCTATAATCCGCAATTTGTTTACTTAAGTCACTTGTGTTTTCTTGAGGACCGTTCATGACCCCATTTAAATTCTCATTGATGTTTGAAATGTTACAGAAATTTAGCCCTCTTGATCCTGTAATAAATCTGTGCTAAGTACTTTTAAGCAAAATAACATTTAATGATCTCCATAAGTGAACTCATGGGTGGGTGACTGTTTTAGCAGTGCTGCCAGAGATTTGATTAACAACATGTCCAAGTAGTTCCTTGAAGCTTGCCCTGTAGTTGTAAGTAAAACTTCCTTTTCCATATAACTGACATAGACTTAGAGCAACAACTATAATTTTACCTTTACTTGACAACATCCAATATTAGTGACAAGTGTTGTGCAGTGCTATCATAAAGTTGCTTCCTTTGCATTTGTCAATTAGGCATTGAGTTGCATGTGTATGGCCTAGTGGGAGTGACTACAGACACACACAACTTTAATTTTACTTTTTGTGATGTGCCATGGTTTATGCATATAGGATTTAAAGTTTACCATAAATCTTGTAGGAGATTGAATCCAGGCGGATATTAGGTTGCTTACACTATTTGTGACTTCTGTTGAATTCCATTTAAATTCCAGTCGTCTTCAATGTTGAAGTTGGTATTTTCAAAGTTTAATGTTTATTCAAAAAAATTGTTTGGATGAGAGAAGCTTGACTGCAGTGCATCATTCCTTCTGATAAAATTATATGCTGGGCACACACAAAATTTATAGGTGTAACATCAGGCACCTAAACCTAAATGCGTTAAGCCACAGTGCAAAATGTATTAGAAAAAAGTACCTTCGCTTGTTTTCTCATATTTCCCTTTAGTTTATGCTTATGCAACGGTGAGCCTTTTAGTGTTTAATCTTTTAACTTGAATAACGTTTTTATTGGAGGAAATTCTCTTCTGATAATCAACTGTTTTGAGATGTGAACTTCATGGTTAAATGCATCATGTTGCAAGGAGTCCCAGTGACATGCAAGTTCAGAGCATTAGCACCAGCTGGATTTGAGCATGATGAGATGTGACTTGCTGAACAGCATTCTCCCTATATTCAGATGCCACAGCACTGATTGATAAGATCGCTTCTTGCTGTGCACCACGGTTCGGATGCAATAGTTTGAAATACTTTCATTCAAAGCTGAGATCATACACCAATTCAAGTCAGGCTTACTACCTGTACAGTTCCTGAGTCAATCCAACAAATGCCTATTTGGTATTCTCCAGCAGAATGTGGAAGTAAAATGGAACATTCTTTGTATCCCCATTTACCACACTGTGCATAAGGGAAGCAAGACTGGAAAATGTTGACTGATTTATATTTAATGTTGTGGAACCTGACTAAAGCTGAGTGGCTCACTATCATTAAGAGAAATCCAAAAGACAAGACTATACAGTAAGAGTAGCTCAAAGTGATATAGTGCAATAGTGAAGTGCCAATGACTACCGGTTAAAATTTTGCCAGGATATTCAGATGTCTTTCAACATAGATGAAAGGATCAAAAAGGAAATTAATTTCATTAGCAAAGAAAAGCTGAGCATTGGAAACAAAGGCATAAGAGATCCTTGATTGCAATAAACAGTTGAAGAAATGGTGGAACAGTACCTTGAGGTGTACTCAATTAAGAATATTGTTACTAAGGAAGCTTTAGAAAGCCTGTCTGTAATCGCAGAGCTGGATTTCAAACCCATTGTGAGGTACTTAGCAGTGCCTTTTACTGGTGTGCTATAGGTAAGGCTCCCAGGTGTCCTGTTGATGTATCAACCGA